TGTTTTCTGCTGCTTTAAAGGCAGCTGACTCTCAGGTCACCAGTCCAGACCTTCTGACCCAGCAGCTTCAGCTTTATTGTGAAAGTCTTGAGCGGAAGCCGCGCTCCATGGCTGCGCGCTTGGCTGATGGATGGAGGCAGAGGGAGGGATGATCGGAGCTGAGCATCAGTGAGCCGCAGACGGACACGGAGGAGGATCCTGTCTCAGTGGAAACCCGCCACGCTCCGTGGGTCCTGCTCCTGGATCTACCTTCATTTTTATTGAAACCCTGGAAGAAAGAGGGAAGCTGCTGCTGCTGAAGCTGAAGCTCCAACCGAAGGTCCCCGCTGTCCACGCAGCTGTCCACGCAGCTCTCCATGCCGCCCCACAGAGCGCTCCGCGCGGCGCTCGCGCTGCTGCCGCTCCTGCTACTTGGAGCTCGCAGGCTGGACGCCCAGCTGGGAGGAGAGCGCGGTGTGTCGGTCCCTGAACACGGCTTCTGCCAGCCCATCTCCATCCCGCTCTGCACCGACATCGCCTACAACGAGACCATCATGCCGAACCTGCTGGGCCACACCAACCAGGAGGACGCGGGGCTGGAGGTGCACCAGTTCTACCCGCTGGTGAAGGTGCAGTGCTCCCCGGAGCTCCGCTTCTTCCTCTGCTCCATGTACGCGCCGGTGTGCACGGTGCTGGAGCAGGCGCTGCCGCCCTGCCGCTCTCTGTGTGAGCGCGCGCGGCAGGGCTGCGAGGCGCTGATGAACAAGTTCGGCTTCCAGTGGCCGGACAGCCTGGCCTGCGAGAAGTTCCCGGTCCACGGCGCGGGGGAGCTGTGCGTGGGCCAGAACACGTCGGACCGCGCGGAGCCGGAGGGCCCCGGAGCCTTCCCCACGGAGCGCCCCCCGCAGGAGCCTACGCACGGTCAGTTCCGCTGCCCGGCCTCCCTCACCGTGCCCCCCTACCTGAACTACCGCTTCCTGGGGCAGGAGAACTGCGGCGCCCCCTGCGAGCTGCGCGCGCCTCACGGACTCATGTACTTCAGCGAGGAGGAGCTGCGCTTCTCCAGGATCTGGATCGGGATCTGGTCCGTCCTGTGCTGCGCCTCCACCCTCTTCACGGTGCTCACCTACCTGGTGGACATGAAGCGCTTCAGCTACCCGGAGCGGCCCATCGTCTTCCTGTCCGGCTGCTACACCATGGTGTCGGTGGCCTACATGGCCGGCTTCCTGCTGGAGGACCGGCTGGTCTGCAACGCGGGCTTCGAGAAGGAGATGAGGACGGTGGTCCAGGGCACCAAGAAGGAGGGCTGCACCATCCTCTTCATGATGCTCTACTTCTTCAGCATGGCCAGCTCCATCTGGTGGGTCATCCTGGCCCTCACCTGGTTCCTGGCCGCCGGCATGAAGTGGGGCCACGAGGCTATCGAGGCCAACTCGCAGTACTTCCACCTGGCGGCGTGGGCCGTGCCCGCCATCAAGACCATCACCGTCCTGGCGGTGGGTCAGGTGGACGGCGACGTGCTGAGCGGCGTCTGCTTCGTGGGCATCAGCAGCGTGGACGCCCTGCGAGGCTTCGTCCTGGCGCCGCTCTTCGTCTACCTGTTCATCGGAACCTCCTTCCTCCTGGCCGGGTTCGTGTCCCTCTTCCGGATCCGGACCATCATGAAGCACGACGGCACCAAGACGGAGAAGCTGGAGAAGCTGATGGTCCGGATCGGGATCTTCAGCGTGCTCTACACGGTACCGGCCACCATCGTCATCGCCTGCTACTTCTACGAGCAGGCCTTCCGCGGCCAGTGGGAGTGGACGTGGGTCAGCCAGTCCTGTAAGACCTACGCGGTGCCGTGTCCCGTCCAGGACCGGCCCAGCATGAGCCCGGACTTCACCGTCTTCATGATCAAGTATCTCATGACGCTCATAGTGGGCATCACCTCCGGGTTCTGGATCTGGTCCGGTAAGACCCTCAACTCATGGAGGAGGTTCTACAGCCGGCTGGCCCACAGTAAGCAGGGGGAAACCACCGTGTGACCCGGTGACCCGAATCCTGGACCCACCAGGGAACCTCAGGCTGCTTTATTCTTCCAAGGTCCTGGAAGATCCATAATTGCTTCTACAAACTAAGGGTTCTGATCCGGTTCGGATCCAGCGTTCTTCTACACGGATCGTTGTGTCTTTGGATCGAGGAACTCCTGGTGAGGAGATGGTTCTGGACCAGAATACTACAGCTCACTGCTGCTCCACTCCTGCTTCTGGACCGGTACCGGAGTAGAACCGCGCCTCAGTCCATCCTATAGGGAACCGTTTGGTTGGGAATTATTCTGGATCTTTGATCGGGTCCATTTCATGGAAGAACTGGATATTTTGACCAGAACCATCGGTTTGGAACGGTTCAGGCGGTCTGGGTTCTGAAATGGTTCTATTTCCTTTGGATTTAGGAAATGTTCTGACCCGGTTCTGGAGTCAGCCCACAAGTGAATCCGAACTAAAGGAACCAGTTGGACGGGAAGTTTCAGGTTTATTAACGGGTTTAAAGTCCAATCAGAATGGAGAGCCAGAACCATCGGAAACGGACCCAAAGACATGATAGGAATAACTGATGAGGCGGTCCAGTGGTTGGTTCTGTAGGGATGTAGGTCCGTTCCTCGGAACCAGGACCGTCAAACCAGTCTGTTTCTGATCAGAACCTCTTTCTCAGAGATAAACCGGACCTCTGAACCCAAATTAACCCCTTCAGAACCAGCAGAACCAAAACCCAGACTTCTTTGTGGGAGTTTTTGGGTCGGCTGTGATTTCCTCCTGAACAGAACCGGTCCTCTGGTTTGGTCCCGTGAAGCTTCAAAGGTTCTGATCCGACGATGATTCAGAGGTTCTGATCCGAGGATGATTCAGAGGTTCTGATCCATATGGAGTGTATTTTGATTCTTAATTGTTTAAAGCAAACAAAAAGTTTTGTAACTTATTTTCTGCTTTTTTTCCCAAAATTTTCTTTCCAATTAAAAAAAAAAAATTTTTCACTATTTTTTTTATAATTTCTTTACAAAATTTTCAGTATTTTTTTTTTTATTCTATTGGTAACTTAAAGGGGAACGCCGTTTTTTTTCCATTGTTTCCTTGATTTTCCGTTATTCCATCATGTTCTACTCTCCCATATGAGTTTAGTGTCATTAGGAGCCGTTCTGAAGATATTCCGTTAGGTTATATCCAGTAACGTCTTCCTATGGGCAACGACTTGAAGGCACAAACTGAACTGTTCATCATTTATTCTTTATGGTACGCCAGCATTCAGAACATGGAGGCCAATCACTGTCCCCCAGGTATCCGCCGTTAGATTTTTATATTTAAATTTTTTAAAACAAAGCGTCTATGACATCATCCGCGCGTTGTAACAGGCAGCCCGGGCCACAGGCGGCTACCCTCTACTCCTTCTATTCATTCTAGCTAATCTGAATGGTTCATCTGGAGAGCGAGATCATCTGTGGTAGCAGCTCTAGACATCATCTTAGTTTGTGCCTTCAAGTCGTTGCCCATAGGAAGACGTTACTGGATATAACCTAACGGAATATCTTCAGAACGGCTCCAAATGACACTAAACTCATATGGGAGAGTAGAACATGATGGAATAACGGAAAATCAAGGGACCAATGGAAAAAGAAACGGCGTTCCCCTTTAATCTCGGCCCAAATTGAGTTTCGTGATTTCCATCTTTTTCAGATCCCGCCTTCTTCACTTCCAACCAATCCAAATGCTCAGTATTTGCTCTGGACCAATCAGACTATTGTTGTTAACCTCCAGCAGACCAATAGAAATGTGTCGTTGCTCCTCAGTCCCGCCCCCAGTGGCGAATGTGATCTGAAAACACGATTGGAGAATAAAACTCATCAGACTCGACCTGCAAGAGAAATATCTAAATGATATTTGAAAAAACAATTGAAATATAAAAAATAAAAATATGAAAAGAAATTGAAAAAAACGTAAATCTGATAAAAAGAATAGTTTAATTTTTTTTCTTCTTTTTTTTCTGTTTCAAAACATGTTCTTTGCAACAATTGTGGAACAAAGTTGACTCCATAGCTCTGATGGTTGGTAGTGATGCGTTCAAGAACCTGAAACTGTGGGTTCTGATCCCGTTGGATCCATGTCTGGGTGGAGGTGCTCAGGCTAACGGGTCTGAGCGGTTCTGGGGGGGGGTGCTTCCGGTCCCTCGTGGTTCTGATCTTGTTTTGAAATCATTTCTTTACCTTTGCTATGAAGAGAACATTTTATATTTATATAAATCCTTTTATTACTATTATTATTACGCTAATTTGTTTATGCCAATAAAACAAACTCATCTCTGTAACTTTGGTCAAAACTCTTTTTTTTTTTTTTTACTCTGAAGGTCCAGAGATCCGCTCCACATGTTGGTTCCTTTTAAAATCATTGCTGAGGTCTCTGCTGGCTCTAGGAGGGGGTTTGGTCCGGTCCGGTCTGGTCTGGACCGGTCCAGACCAGAGCTTCCTCTCTATGAAGCCAAACAAAGTGTTTTCCTCCCTAGATCAGCTCCTACAGGAGGAACCTGTGCAGCTGCTCCACCATCCTGCAGGTGGAGCCTTCATATCTGACTCTAGTTTCAAACCTTTAGTGATGAACAGACAGAAAATCAGTGAGAAAAATCCGAACCAAACGGCCACTAGAACCCGACCTTCCATCAGTGGAGCTTCTGATCAGAGCAGCGGCACCAAGCAGGAGGCAGCTGGTGGAAACTACGGTGGCTGAGGAGGGACAAACACCAATGACTGGATGGCTGAGAAGAAGAAACAAGAAAGAATCTGGATTTGATATAAAATAAGTCTGAGTCGGTGGTCTTTGGTCTGAGGCTCCACTGTCTTTGGTCCTTTTTAGCGGTCTTTGGTCCTGGTTTGTGGTCTTTGGTCTGGATGGGCAGTCTATGTTCTTGGTTGGTGGTCTTCATTCAGAGTCGGTGGTCTTTGGTCTGAGTCCTCTGTTCTTGGTCCAGGTGGGCCTATTTTGGCTGGAGGTCTTTGTTCTGGGTCAGTGATCTTTTGTCTGTATTAGAGGTCTTCATTCTGGGTAGGTGGTCCTCGGTCTGGGTCGGTGGTCTTCTTGTCTGTGTTGGAGGTCCTCGGTCTGGGTCGGCCATCTTTGGTGTGGGTTGGAGGTCCTCGGTCTGGGTCGGTGGTCTTCTGTCTGTGTTGGAGGTCCTCGGTCTGGGTCGGTGGTCTTCTGTCTGTGTTGGAGGTCCTCGGTCTGGGTCGGTGGTCTTCTGTCTGTGTTGGAGGTCCTCGGTCTGGGTCGGTGGTCTTCTGTCTGTGTTGGAGGTCCTCGGTCTGGGTCGGTGGTCTTCTGTCTGTGTTGGAGGTCCTCGGTCTGGGTCGGTGGTCTTCTGTCTGTGTTGGAGGTCCTCGGTCTGGGTCGGTGGTCTTCTTGTCTGTGTTGGAGGTCCTCGGTCTGGGTCGGTGGTCTTCTGTCTGTGTTGGAGGTCCTCGGTCTGGGTCGGTGGTCTTCTGTCTGTGTTGGAGGTCCTCGGTCTGGGTCGGTGGTCTTCTGTCTGTGTTGGAGGTCCTCGGTCTGGGTCGGTGGTCTTCTTGTCTGTGTTGGAGGTCCTCGGTCTGGGTCGGTGGTCTTCTGTCTGTGTTGGAGGTCCTCGGTCTGGGTCGGTGGTCTTCTGTCTGTGTTGGAGGTCCTCGGTCTGGGTCGGTGGTCTTCTGTCTGTGTTGGAGGTCCTCGGTCTGGGTCGGTGGTCTTCTGTCTGTGTTGGAGGTCCTCGGTCTGGGTCGGTGGTCTTCTTGTCTGTGTTGGAGGTCCTCGGTCTGGGTCGGTGGTCTTCTGTCTGTGTTGGAGGTCCTCGGTCTGGGTCGGTGGTCTTCTGTCTGTGTTGGAGGTCCTCGGTCTGGGTCGGTGGTCTTCTGTCTGTGTTGGAGGTCCTCGGTCTGGGTCGGTGGTCTTCTGTCTGTGTTGGAGGTCCTCGGTCTGGGTCGGTGGTCTTCTTGTCTGTGTTGGAGGTCCTCGGTCTGGGTCGGTGGTCTTCTGTCTGTGTTGGAGGTCCTCGGTCTGGGTCGGTGGTCTTCTGTCTGTGTTGGAGGTCCTCGGTCTGGGTCGGTGGTCTTCTGTCTGTGTTGGAGGTCCTCGGTCTGGGTCGGTGGTCTTCTGTCTGTGTTGGAGGTCCTCGGTCTGGGTCGGTGGTCTTCTGTCTGTGTTGGAGGTCCTCGGTCTGGGTCGGTGGTCTTCTTGTCTGTGTTGGAGGTCCTCGGTCTGGGTCGGTGGTCTTCTGTCTGAGGCTCCACTGTCTTTGGTCCTTTTTAGCGGTCTTTGGTCCTGGTTTGTGGTCTTTGGTCTGGATGGGCAGTCTATGTTCTTGGTTGGTGGTCTTCATTCAGAGTCGGTGGTCTTTGGTCTGAGTCCTCTGTTCTTGGTCCAGGTGGGCCTATTTTGGCTGGAGGTCTTTGTTCTGGGTCAGTGATCTTTTGTCTGTATTAGAGGTCTTCATTCTGGGTAGGTGGTCCTCGGTCTGGGTCGGTGGTCTTCTTGTCTGTGTTGGAGGTCCTCGGTCTGGGTCGGCCATCTTTGGTGTGGGTTGGAGGTCCTCGGTCTGGGTCGGTGGTCTTCTGTCTGTGTTGGAGGTCCTCGGTCTGGGTCGGTGGTCTTCTGTCTGTGTTGGAGGTCCTCGGTCTGGGTCGGTGGTCTTCTGTCTGTGTTGGAGGTCCTCGGTCTGGGTCGGTGGTCTTCTGTCTGTGTTGGAGGTCCTCGGTCTGGGTCGGTGGTCTTCTGTCTGTGTTGGAGGTCCTCGGTCTGGGTCGGTGGTCTTCTGTCTGTGTTGGAGGTCCTCGGTCTGGGTCGGTGGTCTTCTTGTCTGTGTTGGAGGTCCTCGGTCTGGGTCGGTGGTCTTCTGTCTGTGTTGGAGGTCCTCGGTCTGGGTCGGTGGTCTTCTGTCTGTGTTGGAGGTCCTCGGTCTGGGTCGGTGGTCTTCTGTCTGTGTTGGAGGTCCTCGGTCTGGGTCGGTGGTCTTCTGTCTGTGTTGGAGGTCCTCGGTCTGGGTCGGTGGTCTTCTTGTCTGTGTTGGAGGTCCTCGGTCTGGGTCGGTGGTCTTCTGTCTGTGTTGGAGGTCCTCGGTCTGGGTCGGTGGTCTTCTGTCTGTGTTGGAGGTCCTCGGTCTGGGTCGGTGGTCTTCTGTCTGTGTTGGAGGTCCTCGGTCTGGGTCGGTGGTCTTCTGTCTGTGTTGGAGGTCCTCGGTCTGGGTCGGTGGTCTTCTTGTCTGTGTTGGAGGTCCTCGGTCTGGGTCGGTGGTCTTCTGTCTGTGTTGGAGGTCCTCGGTCTGGGTCGGTGGTCTTCTGTCTGTGTTGGAGGTCCTCGGTCTTGGTCGGTGGTCTTCTGTCTGTGTTGGAGGTCCTCGGTCTGGGTCGGTGGTCTTCTTGTCTGTGTTGGAGGTCCTCGGTCTGGGTCGGTGGTCTTCTGTCTGTGTTGGAGGTCCTCGGTCTGGGTCGGTTGTCTTCTGTCTGTGTTGGAGGTCCTCGGTCTGGGTCGGTGGTCTTCTGTCTGTGTTGGAGGTCCTCGGTCTGGGTCGGTGGTCTTCTTGTCTGTGTTGGAGGTCCTCGGTCTGGGTCGGTGGTCTTCTGTCTGTGTTGGAGGTCCTCGGTCTGGGTCGGTGGTCTTCTGTCTGTGTTGGAGGTCCTCGGTCTGGTTCGGTGGTCTTCTGTCTGTGTTGGAGGTCCTCGGTCTGGGTCAGTGGTCTTCTTGTCTGTGTTGGAGGTCCTCGGTCTGGGTCGGTGGTCTTCTTGTCTGTGTTGGAGGTCCTCGGTCTGGGTCAGTGGTCTTCTTGTCTGTGTTGGAGGTCATCGGTCTGGGTCGGCCATCTTTGGTGTGGGTTGGAGGTCCTCGGTCTGGGTCGGTGGTCTTCTGTCTGTGTTGGAGGTCCTCGGTCTGGGTCGATGGTCTTCTTGTCTGTGTTGGAGGTCCTCGGTCTGGGTCGGCCTTCTTTGGTGTGGGTTGGAGGTCCTCGGTCTGGGTCGGTGGTCTTCTGTCTGTGTTGGAGGTCCTCGGTCTGGGTCGGTGGTCTTCTGTCTGTGTTGGAGGTCCTCGGTCTGGGTCGGTGGTCTTCTGTCTGTGTTGGAGGTCCTCGGTCTGGGTCGGTGGTCTTCTGTCTGTGTTGGAGGTCCTCGGTCTGGGTCGGTGGTCTTCTTGTCTGTGTTGGAGGTCCTCGGTCTGGGTCGGTGGTCTTCTGTCTGTGTTGGAGGTCCTCGGTCTGGGTCGGTGGTCTTCTGTCTGTGTTGGAGGTCCTCGGTCTGGGTCGGTGGTCTTCTGTCTGTGTTGGAGGTCCTCGGTCTGGGTCGGTGGTCTTCTGTCTGTGTTGGAGGTCCTCGGTCTGGGTCGGTGGTCTTCTTGTCTGTGTTGGAGGTCCTCGGTCTGGGTCGGTGGTCTTCTGTCTGTGTTGGAGGTCCTCGGTCTGGGTCGGTGGTCTTCTGTCTGTGTTGGAGGTCCTCGGTCTGGGTCGGTGGTCTTCTGTCTGTGTTGGAGGTCCTCGGTCTGGGTCGGTGGTCTTCTGTCTGTGTTGGAGGTCCTCGGTCTGGGTCGGTGGTCTTCTTGTCTGTGTTGGAGGTCCTCGGTCTGGGTCGGTGGTCTTCTGTCTGTGTTGGAGGTCCTCGGTCTGGGTCGGTGGTCTTCTTGTCTGTGTTGGAGGTCCTCGGTCTGGGTCGGTGGTCTTCTGTCTGTGTTGGAGGTCCTCGGTCTGGGTCGGTGGTCTTCTGTCTGTGTTGGAGGTCCTCGGTCTGGGTCGGTGGTCTTCTGTCTGTGTTGGAGGTCCTCGGTCTGGTTCGGTGGTCTTCTGTCTGTGTTGGAGGTCCTCGGTCTGGGTCGGTGGTCTTCTTGTCTGTGTTGGAGGTCCTCGGTCTGGGTCGGTGGTCTTCTGTCTGTGTTGGAGGTCCTCGGTCTGGGTCGGTGGTCTTCTGTCTGTGTTGGAGGTCCTCGGTCTGGTTCGGTGGTCTTCTGTCTGTGTTGGAGGTCCTCGGTCTGGGTCGGCCATCTTTGGTGTGGGTTGGTGGTCCAATGAGGTCATTGTTCAAAGGTATCAGTCAGGAAAAGGATCAGATTAAATGGCAGCATGAGGAGCCGGTCGATGAGGAACGATGCAGATGCTACACAGACCACCCGTTCCTCTAATGCTGCTGAGAAAATGAGATGGTGGCTAACGGAGACAGCCAGAGGAACCAGGAGGTTCTGGTTGGTTCCACATGCAGTCCTCAGTATAATCATCATTACGGGCCTGAAAGAGTCAAACATGCCAGAACCTGGAGGGTCGACGTCTCATTGTTTGCAGGAACTAGACTTCTGCTCCTTCCATAAGAAACGTTTGGTACAAAAACTGAGCAGAGACCTCAGAGAGACTGAAGCAATGGTGGGGGAGGGGTGGCGGCATCATGCTCAGGGGTTGCTGGGACTGAGCTTTTTGTCTCAGACAGCAGTAACTTTGGACCTGAGCCGTTGAAGTGGTTTCCAGTCATGGCAGTCAGTCCAAACAGCGACGCCATGAGAGGAGCTGTGGAGACAGGTGAGCGCCACGGCAGCAGGCGGACGGTTCCAGGAGACCCACTACTGTGGCAGCAGGCCCCCCTAAAGGCCACCGGCCCTCTAAGGATCCTGTCCTGATGTTCCAGAGCTGTCAGGGACATGCTCCAGGGAGCGGTTATCTTGTTATGGCTCAGCATTGGATCCACATGACCGTCTAATGGACATTAGGAGAAAATCTGATTTTCAGGGAATCATCAGGAGAGAAATGTAGCTCAGGAATCACATCTGTGCAGCATGTGGGGAAGACTTCTTCCCACACCTATGATCCTGCCATCCAGAGAATCCCTGAGGCTGCTAGACCAGCTGAGCGAAGGAGCACTGCTCACTTCCTGTTTCACCTGAGCTGACCTCTCCACCAGCACAGAGGAACGGGGAGAGCATGCCATGTCCGAGCGTGCCCAGAGTGCAGAAGGTTTCCCTGTCGTCAGGCAGAAAGGTCAGGGTTAGGAAGGATTCCCTCTCAGCTTCCATACTGTCTCTCTGTAAGCTAACTGTCTCACAATGCTTTTATTTTGTAGGTCCAGTTAATCAGGAAGCATTCCTGAATGGAAGCTCAGGGATTGTGTTAAAACATTTCCTCACCTACAGGTTCTGGAGGGGTTAGTTAGCAGACCTCCTTTCAGTCGCTTCCATGTTGAGGCTAACAGCAGCATCCTTTAACGATGAGGATGTTTTAAAAAATAAAAGCAGCGTTCCTCTTTAGGAACCAGAGATTGATGGAACGGATCCTTCTGTGGCTCCTTGGTTTAAAGGCTTCCTCTGTTTGGCTCTGAAACGTAGCAGAGCTTCCTGCTGCACAGTCAGCCCCCCATCACCAATGTTTATTTCCCTTTTCTTTTTGAATGGGGGGGGGGGGGGGTCCTCCTCATGTCTCAGAGGTTTCCATCTCATCTCCCAAACTGCCTGAAGGTCAGCTCCACTCTGCAGAGCAGCAGCAGCCTCCCATCAAAGCTGGCACCACCCGCACGGCTCCACCTGTGGATGACTGATGTGCTGTTTCATGCACTTCTTAAAGCGCCGCTCACTCATACGCCCACCAGTGTCACTGGCGGTGCAGCAGGAGCCGCATCACTTCCAGAGCGCCGCTTCTTCATCTCTCTCCTTGAATGACTGTTTTTCTGCATTCCAATATGATTGACTGAGCTGATCTTTAAACCCGTATGACCCCGTTTCCATGATCATGTCAGTGCGGGGCGATGGGAGCTTCTGGAGGTTCTGTAGTCGTTTGTAATAAAAGCATCAACAGAATTTACTATCACATCTGAGTCTTTATATACCGAATATAAAATGAAACGATTCTAACTTGCCTTCAGATTACATCAGATCAGGCTGACGTCGAGACGGAGGTACGATGAAAAAGAAAGAAAAGCTGAGAAACGGGTCTGCATCTACAGAAAGAGGGAAAGAAACAGAAACACAGAAAAAGAAAACAGTTTCACTAAAAATGTCTCTAAGTCTTTATTGGCAACTGCAGCTGTTTATTTATTCCCCAAATGTCTTTAGTAGTAGCCATTTACAATTCCACACTTTATTTCATTGGTTGGTCCTTGGCTGGTCCTTGGCTGGTTCTTGGCTGGTCCTTGGCTGGTTCTTGGCTGGTCCTTGGCTGGTCCTTGGCTGGTCCTTGGCTGGTTCTTGGCTGGTCCTTGGCTGGTCCTTGGCTGGTCCTTGGCTGGTTCTTGGCTGGTCCATGACTGGTCCTTGGCTGGTCCTTGGCTGGTTCTTGGCTGGTCCATGACTGGTCGTTGGCTGGTCCTTGGCTGGTCCTTGGCTGGTTCTTGGCTGGTCCATGACTGGTCCTTGGCTGGTCCATGACTGGTCCTTGGCTGGTCCATGACTGGTCCTTGGCTGGTCCATGACTGGTCCTTGGCTGGTTCTTGGCTGGTCCATGACTGGTCGTTGGCTGGTCCTTGGCTGGTCCTTGGCTGGTTCTTGGCTGGTCCTTGGCTGGTCCTTGGCTGGTCCTTGGCTGGTTCTTGGCTGGTCCATGACTGGTCCTTGGCTGGTCCATGACTGGTCCTTGGCTGGTTCTTGGCTGGTCCATGACTGGTCCTTGGCTGGTCCTTGGCTGGTCCTTGGCTGGTTCTTGGCTGGTCCATGACTGGTCCTTGGCTGGTCCATGACTGGTCCTTGGCTGGTTCTTGGCTGGTCCATGACTGGTCCTTGGCTGGTCCTTGGCTGGTTCTTGGCTGGTCCATGACTGGTCCTTGGCTGGTCCATGACTGGTCCTTGGCTGGTTCTTGGCTGGTCCATGACTGGTCCTTGGCTGGTCCATGACTGGTCCTTGGCTGGTTCTTGGCTGGTCCATGACTGGTCGTTGGCTGGTTCTTGGCTGGTTCTTGGCTAATCCTTGGCTGATCCTTGGCTGATCCTTGGCTGGTTCTTGGCTGGCCCTTGGTTGGTCCTTAACTGGGTGGGGCCATTTTGAATGGCTGCTTCTGTATTTTGAGGATCCAAATCAGCAGCTTCATGTGCATTTATCTACTGATGGTGAGATGAAGCCTCATTGGTCCAATGATCCCCACAGTTCATGAAGCTTCAGATGAACATGTCACCACCTACTGGTGGCTTGCTGAACGACAGTTATTAATATAATCTGGGATTTTTTGCAAATACTTTTTTTTGGACCATAAGTTCCTTTGAAATTGTTAATGATCGTTCTGTATAATTAAATCTTTTGTAATTTTTTTTGTGTGTAAAATGTCTTAGAAGAGAAAAATCATTTAAGGTTAACTTTTTTTCTGCCATTTTAGTGAAATTAGCTCAAGCAGACAGTGGAAGTGTTTGTGCAAACCGTGGAATGATGAGCAATATGAAACGTTTTAGTGATTTTTACCCAAACATAGTTTTTCCACAGTTTTTGGTTTTAATCGCGATGGAAGTTACGTGTTCAACCAATCGTTTGACTAAACAAACCAGTTTTTACCCAAACTATACTTTTATTTTGGCAAACCAATAAAAATTAGTCACATTAGCCAAAATACTAGTTAGGATTATTGCAACAGTCAGAAGCCTAAAGTTGGTCTCGACACGCTTTGGGGAAACGCCCCCTCCGTTACTCAACACGCCTCGAGGCCTCGACTCATCTCATAACATCACTAGCATTTCTATATGAGCACACGTGTGCACAGACAGTGAATCCATTAGAATGATCAACAGCAGGCATGAGGCGCCACAGACCTGCCCTCAGGAGCCTGAAGCAGACATGGAGGGAGGTGGAGCTCCAGACATCCAAAGGTCCCCTGGAACCAGCAGGACACAGAGAGAGGTGACCCATGGCGGCTGAAGGCCGTTCCCTTTCTACATGGGACTGATCACAGCACAGAGAGGAGCGCCATCAGGGGCTGGCTGGGCTCTCTGTCCTGCAGGGATGACCCGGTTCGGTCCTGCTGAGTGCAGCTCCATCTCCATAGTGAAAACCAGAGCTGATCGACTCCACCGCCACTTTGTTCCTTCCCAGTCTTTGTGTCTTGTGTTTCCTGCTGAAAGCAGCCATGCAAGCGTGAAATGTGGTAATGGAAGCTGGCTGTTTCAGAGGGAGCAGCGGATCAGAGCCAGAAGGAGACGGAGGCCTCTAGTAGCAGCAGAGGGACTCCTCCGTACAGCTGGGCGGATATATGGATGGAGGGAGGGTCACCAAATTCCTTCAGTTTGTCTCCATGTGTCACACGCCTCCAATTACTGAACTCCATTCTCTAATTAAGTAATTTCCTGTCAGCTCAGAAGCTTTAAGCTGCTGCTTTGAATGTCAACGTGAAGCCCAGGCCCTCCTGAAGACATGCTGTGCTGTGATTGGTGGAGAAGCCCGGGCTGAAGTTGCCCCGCCGCTGGCAGACATCCCTGAATGTTAGATGTGGGTTATCAGATGTTACATGGCGGTTATCTAAGGAGTGAGGCTAAACCTGCTTTTCATCAGATTTGGTTTCCATCAGGTTTGAAACATTTTAAACATTTAAGTCTGGCAACAAAAAGAAACTTGAATTCGTCTGAAGGTGCTGATTATATTTCATAGCTCTGTGGATCATCTGTCTCATTCTTATTCATCAATTCATTTTCTCTCTCAAGTTTTGTAATAAGAGTGACTGATGATCTATGATGCTTTTAAACATTGGCTTTGATTCCATCCATACAGAGTTTTTTATTCTGTTATTTTTTTTATTTAAGGAAAACCAGCTGATTGCATCGACTCATTGACTCTTCAGCAATCCCTCACACTAAGCATGCTTGTAGCGACAGTGGAGAGGAAAAACTCCCTATGAACAGGAAGAAACCTCCAGCAGAACCAGGCTCAGTGTGAGCGGCCATCTGCTGAGGCCCACTGGGGTTCAAGGAGACGGAAGCAGACATAGAAAAGCATAGATAGAAAAGGCAACTGTCAACCAGCTCCACAGGCGGCCCCGTCCAGGAAACACACAGCCAGGCAGACGAGCTCCGAGCCAGCTCCCATGTCAGAGGATGAAGAGAGCACATCCAATTAGTCACAGTCAGAGAAACAGGACTACACTGGAAAACAGGCCAAGCTCCAACATCTAGAAACAAAGGTGTTGATGGCAGCAGCACAGCTGATATTTCTTTCCAGGATGGAGTCACAG